CCTTCTCTTCCCTTCTACTGATGTTTATACTAAGAACACTTCCTGATATACTTCAGGCATGCTAATTTCAGTCCCAAAGTTTGATTCCTAGAGAGTGTAACCTGTGGAGCTACTGATTCTTAAGTTCAACTCCTATTATTATTCACAAATAAATACAAATAATGCTCTTTCAATATCTGGTACTGCAAATGTTATCAGAAATGCATCCTCAAACTCAGTATTTCACCATCATGTTTCCATTTTCCTCCCCTATCCCCAAAGTCCATTCAGGCTACCCCTCTAGACTATGCAAGCTGCCATGTTGGTGGGGCTTGAGATGTAGAGCTAGCAGGAATGGACCCAGACCCTGTCAACAGTAAGCAATCTCTAATCATTCCACCTCCCAGATACTACCATTTGGTAGGACAGCTTCACAGAAAGGCCCCACTGCAACTACCTCAAACTTGATGTGTTCAACCTGTTCATTTCTCTCTGTGATTTGCTTGTCTTCTTGGTGTGGTCACTTCTATCTTTGATGCCTGCATTATTTTTCTCAGCATTGAGACAATTTCAGTTCCCTTTGCCTGATATGCCACCACCCAATCCACTTCCCAATATCTTTGATTCTGTCTCAAAAATATAGCCTGAAGTGGTCCACATTTCTCTACTTCCACTGCTCAGCCATGGTCTAAGCCCACATTATCTATGCTTGAACAACTGCTCAATTGGATCTTCCTGCTCCCTCTTTTGACCCCTTTAACCAGTGTCCACATAACAGAGTAAGATTTTAAATCCCCAGCTTGCCACTATCCCATTTAAAACTCTTGAATAGATTCCCATTGCCCTGAAGGTAAAGTCTAAACTCATTAACCCAGCTGGTAAGACCCTGCATGAACCAACCTCTGCCTACCTCTGTAATTTCCTCACATGCCTACACCTTTACAAATAGTCTCTTAACTACTTTCAAAGTATTCTAATTTAATTGTCCCATCTGTTTTCTGTTTGGAACCTGATTGAAATAGGTTTTAAAAGAATCTAAACATATTAAAAATACTATGTCATTTCTATAGGTGCACATATATGTAAATAAAATCATAGGAAAAGATCTAGAAAGATAACCACCAAATTGTTAATGAGGATTACTTTTGAGAATGCAGAGTATTGGTCCAAAGGAATTGTAGGTTTATCTCTAAATGCTCAAGTTTAAAAAAGGAGAATTTACACAAATACTCATTATAAAATAACTTAATTTTAACAGTAAATATATGAGATGAGAGCATTGGGCTAGATCAATGGCTTTCAGTCAGTGTTGGCTGTGAGCTCACATTAAGAGATCTTTCATTGCGACCCAGAGTACTCATCCAAATCTATTTCTACAGATACAAATTGAGACAAAAATTTCATGAAACAATATTTACTCTTACCATGAGCAACGCATTTTGCTATTTTGTTTTATGACCTATTTTCCTTTTTTTTAAGCTTGCCTAACTCACTCCATTGGTATTATGATTTATTGTTGTAGTGTAACCCATGTTTTCAAACACTAGACTGGATCATTAGCACTATAGTTATATGATACTTCATCTTCCTGAAAATTGCTCCCTGCCTTGGGCTCTCCACCTTCTCTGAGCTCTCTTACTATTTATTATTTCTTTTTCTCATTTAGCACAAAGTTGCTGCTGACTATATATTCTTTATTCATGTAGGTGAAAAGGAAAATCCTGGATAGGTACCCTGTGAATGGGTTTCTTAGCTTGGGCTGCTATAACAAAATACCCAGACTGAGTGGTTTAAATGACATTTATTTCTCATAGTTCTGGAGGCTGTGGAGTTCAAGATCAAGGTGCCCATTGACTCAGTTCCTGGTGGACCCTCTTCCTGCTTGTAGATGGCTATCTTCATGACGTGTCCTCATATAGTGGTGAGAATACAAGTTCTCTGATATGTCCTATAAGTCACTAATCTCATCATGAGGGCAGCCCTTATGACCTTATCTAACAAAATTACTTTTCACTCAGATACCATGTTGGGGGTTAGGGCTTCAACATGTGAATTTGGGGGGTGGGACACAAATATTTAGTCTACAACAGTGGGGAATCAGGCAGAAGTATGTGTTTAAAAATGCTAAGTATAATGTATATTTTTATGTGTTGGGGGTGGGGTGTTTGCACATGTATATTTGTGGCCTCAGATTTCTGAGAAACAGTTGATTTTTAAGATGTTACTGACCTACAGATTTGAAATGGGCCTTATGTTTACCTTTCTGAGTAACAGCTTTTAAAATAATTTCAGGTGTTCTTGCCACAGTTTCACCTCCATCCTGTGTAGCTTCTGGCAGGTTATCATACTAATCATTGACTTGTTACTTGTCTTTTTGTAAATGTTCAACCAAAAGGCAAGTTATATTTTACAATTCTGAGCAAGGCTTTACCTCCCCTGACTTTATTCTAGGAGCACTGAAAAAACTAAAGGTTAAAAACAGAAATAGGGCAAACCAGAGAAATATTTTGGAATGATCTTCCAGAGAACAGAAATCTCTAAGGTAAATCAATCATGAGGGCAGAATATATTTGTTCACCAAAGGAATGTAGCAGCATCAAAAGAGTTTTAAAATCCTAAATACTGGATTGTCTCATTGCTCTTGGTTAATTTACATAATGGTATACATTTTCATGTTGTTTTCTAGTGACTGTCATCCCTCACTTCTGTTATTATAAAAAATATAGATTTGGCTATGTTTTGCTTTGCTTTTTCCCTGAGAGAAAAGAAAAGAGTTTCCTGTTTGGTTCTATTGGGCAACCATTGTACTCAGTTTTGCCAGAGATAAGTAGGTCAGTAGATATGACAGGAAAATATTTTCCTTCTTGTTTTCTTTTGGAGATCTGGTAAGTTTATGAAATCTCTTGACATTAAAACAAAATGAAATTAAAGTCATTCATATCTAATATTGAGGACAAACTGCAACCTGGGACATGGAGTAAGGAAAAACATATCTACAGGCTGCCTGTTCCTCCAGTGGGGGTTTCCTTGTACTCAGCTCTACTCATATCATACCTTCCCTTGGAGATACTTAAGACCAGCAGAGAGAACCAGCTCTCCAGCTAGCAACTAGTATTGGGAATGGGAGAGTGTGGCAGTGTTGAAAACTCTTTCATGATTTCCCACTGCCTTCAGGGTCAAGTACAAAGGCTTAAACCAATTTTAGGACCTAAACCCCTAAGTCCTTCAAGGCCCCGTCTGATGATGCTTCAACCTGCCCTTCTCCAGCTCATTCCCACCACTTTGTTCCCCAAACTTTTGCCTGCCTCTGTCTATGCTCCATAGAGCAAAGTTTTAAAGTCATTAAGAATTTAAAGTCATTAAGAATTTTCAAAGAATTTGCATTGTTTTGAGAATGAATTCCAGATTTAAGTCTTAAGTCCTTAAGTCCCTATATAATGGATCCATTTCCTGCCATCTCTTCCTCACACAGCATTACAGACACATTGCCCTTCTTTCTCATTCCTTGAACACATTGACTGTTCCCCATTTGAAGACCTTTGATGTTCCTTCAGCCAGGAACATTTTTCAGGTTTTGCTTTCCTTTCTTCCAAGTCTTTTTTTTTTTATTTTATTTATTTTAGTTGTTGATGGACCTTTATGTTTTATTTATATGTGGTGCTGAGAATTGAACCCAGTGCCTCACACATTCAAAGCAAGAGCTCTACCACTAAGCCACAACCCCAACCCTCTTCTAAGTCTTTAACACGTCACTGACCAGCCAGCCAGCCTGTCACTCTTTATTGAAGCATCATTTTTTATTCCATTATCTAAATTTCTCATGTCCCCTTAGAATTTTCGCACCATGAGGGTAGGAACCATCTCTGTCTTGTTTATCAGCATATTCCTATTTCCTTGGTGGATGGGCCTGGCATAAAACAGGCTTCAATAAAAATTATTAAGTGAATATATGAGCCAGGGGTACTCAAACTTGAGTGTGCAGCAGAATCACTAGGAGGCTTGTTAAAATGGACAGCCCCTTTCCCATATCCCCCCCAAAAGTTCCTGATTTGGAAGGTTGGTGGTGTGGCCCCCTGATTTGTATTTCTCCTGGGTTCCCAGGTGATGCTGAACCTGCTAGTCCAGGGACTAGCAGGTTGTGCCAGCTATAGCTTAGTGCTTAAGTTCTGGGCTTACAAGTTTAATATTTCCATGACTTTGGTCCCTGACTTCTTTTTTTTTTTTTTATGGAAAATTGTTTCCTTTACTCATTGAGCAACCCTGCCTGTACCCCTGCTTCAAGAGTCAGGATGGGTATCACTTTCTCCAGGAGGCCGTTCCCAGTCTTTGGTGTTCAAATCTGTGCCCTTTAGCAAAGGCAGTCTTATCCTTACCACATTGCTTTGGGTTGACCCTGTGCATACTCTTTCCAGACCATGACTGCACCAGGGCATGTTAGTCATGTCCATATTCTAGCTAGAAGCTCAAGAATGTTTCCTTTGAACTCATAGAGGGCATCTGAAAATGAGGTCAGACCTGAACTTTGTGCAGGTCTGGATTCCCAGATCACTCTCAGGCCTCATTATTTGCAGAATGCTTTGCTCTGTATCTTCCCTTTTTCGTATCAATCTCAGCCCTTAATAACAGTGGCTTCTCCCTTTTGTCTCCAATGTTTAATTTCTCAAGCTTGTGCTCAAACTTAATTGTTCCATTTATTTGGTCAGCCTTAATATACTGTGATAACCCTTGAGGCATAGCAATAAATGCCAAAATTGGTTCTAGGCCAAAAGAGAGAGGGGCGGGGAAGTCATTTCTCAATGTGTTCTCGAGTTCCAATTTTATCTTCCTAAATACCACTATTTGAAGTCACCCCCATTTCTCCTAATAATTCTGAAAAATAGTGGTACTGTTTCCTTCCCTACTACAAGTTAATGCAAGGGCAGGAGAACTGAGTTCCCTGAAGCCCCAGCCTGCAATAAAGTATCTTAATACTCAGGATGTCCCTGGGTCCTGCTCATACTCATGCTTTGGGAAAAACTCACCTTGCCATGGTGTTGGAGCTGCACCCAGCCTCCATAGCCGAATCTCTGTAGTGGAGAGAAGTACAATTAGGCTTGAAAAGCAAAGAAGAGACGATTGCAATAAAGGACACATCCTCAGGGCAAAGGAGCCTAAACGCCATCCTTTTAGGCATTATCTTTCCATTTGTCCCTCCATGCCCATGTATCACTTATTCAATATTTATATTTCAAGCTGGGTGAGGTAGTGCACGTCTATAATCCCAGCGGCTCAAAATCTTGAGTTCAAAGCCAGCCTCAGCAATTTAGCAAGGCCCTGAACAACTAGTGAGACTCTGTCTATAAATAAAATACAAAAAGGACTGGGGATGTGGCTCAGTGGTTAAGTGCCCCTGGGTTCAATCCCTGGTACCAAAATATATATATATATATATATTTCAATATACATTTTCCTTTAAATATATTTATACAGAAAGAAAATTGTACATTTCATTGGTTTTATCTTTTTTCCTAATATAGTTTGAAATTTTAAATCAAAGATTAACACAGAATATTTGGGTATGTACTATCAGATCATTTAATGCAGTACTGGGAGTACATGGACCATAAGGACTACTCTTTAGAACATATACTGCTCTTCAGACTGTGAGTTGCAATCCATGAATAGATCATAAAAATAATTCAGTGACTAGGGGCCTAGACATTTTAAAATCATGAGATAGTATGTGTTGCAGATACTAACGGCATCCCACACATATTCCTTCCCCTTAATACTCTGGGGTACAACAGCCCACCTCCAAATGCTAGTGTCTATACTTCTTTAAGAATCTCTCTTCTTCCCCTGAAAGCTTCTTTGATACCCCATTCTAACAGGTAGGAAGTACCAGGAAATTAGTCTACCCTTGCCATCTGCCCAGCAGCTCTCAACCAATGACTGAGAAAATTTGAATGTAAATATACTGAATACACTAGTACTCCAGTCCTGGGCAGGATAACTTTGAGGCAAGGTACACATTCTGTAATGGATAACAAACCTTTTATTGGTTTCCTGGCTTTTCCTATCTTACTTCCCCACTTGTGTTTTCCTGAGATCATCTCCAAAGTAAAGTACTTGCATTTGAATCCTTGATTCAAAGTCTGCTTCTTTAAAAACACAAGATAAGATAGTAAAGAAATGGAATAGAATGAAAAAGAATAGAATAATATCTCCCATGTAGTATTAGTTTCATAAAAATTTCCTGTTACATACGTAAATGTTTGCATGATTTATAATATACAAAATATATCTCTTCCTGGGAGTCATAAATTTAAAAAATTGAAAGCCTAATAATGTATCACTTATTCAATATTTATTGAATTCCTAAGGATGTAGGTATATATGACTCATATAATATTTTATTTGTTCACTCATTCTTTGTTCAAGCTCTCATGGAGTCTCATGACCAGTCTTACTGGGGCAAAGAAAATAAAAGTGGAGGACAATTTCTGTCTATGTGGAGCAGAGTGTTGAGAGGGTGGGGTCAAGTGGAAAAGTGATGGAACAGCTGTACAAGTGTATGAGATGCACTGTGATAGTGCTGCCCATGTTCTCTGGGAGTCTGGAGGAGGATGCTGATCCACACCTTGGGTCAGGTGGTATTAGGGGAGGGAGGTTAGAAAAGTAGACTGGTATCAGATTGGAGAGAAACTTCTTATTCAGGATTTCTATGCTCCAAAGAATGACTCATAATACATGATATAAGGAGGGAATGTGTAGAAGCAAGAGACAGCTAGATGAAAGAGCTCATCACCAGCTCCTTAGACTATCAGCAATAATAAGTAGATGAATAAAGCAAGCTGAATTTCATTTCCATTTTTCACTTGTAGTTGGCTAAGGTCAGGTAACAGTGGTTAGCTCTCATGTCATGGCACTGGAATGTTACCTGAAGAGAGTGAGGTCTTGATGGATCCCTCTTCCTAGCTTCCTTCTAACCTCCAGATTGACTGGGAAGGTCTGAGTCTGGACCACAGTATAGCATAGAGGTGTTCATCTGTGACAAGGATCTACCTCAACAGGCTTCTGTTCTTGAGGTTAGCTCCAAATAATCATGTTATCTTTGGAGATCTGTATGCTTCCTCCCTAGTGACCTGCTGTTTATCAGGTTGAACATGCAAGGAAAACTGCACCAGTTTGCTCCTCTGCCTATGCCCCCAACCCCTCACTTTCCTCTCTTTGTGCATTCGATACCTTTATACCCTTCTCTTCCCTTGGAAAAAGCTGCCAAGAGACATATGTTGGAGGAGGGAGTAGAATATGACTTCTATCAGTTACACTTTAGAGTAAATTTGAGACTAACAATGTGCTCTTGAACTGAACATTTGTCATTGAAATCTTATCTTCGGTGTAGAAGAAAAGGTTGTATTTCCTTCTTTCTTCTCTCTCGCTTTACTTCCTTTATTCTTCCCTCACTGTTACTGTTTCTTAATTCTCTAGAGAACCTTAATCCATATGTGACCAGGTTAGAGGTGTATTGCATTTGGAGAAGAACAGGGAGGCAGAGCAGAGGGATGAATCTGGCCACATCCAACAAATCATGTCCAAGGTACTTGACTTTGTTGAAGTAATTTAACATCTCCAAGTTTCTGTTTCCTTGCAGGTAAAATGGAGACTAACAAGCATAGCTGAGATATAGGGTGTTATGGGAATTAACTGAGATAATGCATATAAATCTACTGACATCAGGTTTGGCCTTTATCAAAGCTAATTATATGGGTGGTGATCATGGAGGTGGTGGAGGGGAAGTGGTGGCTGCTAATAGTGTTGCTAGAGTTGGCAGTGGTTGCAATGGCAGGGGTAGAGGGAGTGAGATGGTAATGGTAGTGGCAGTGGTTGTCAGTATGGTGGCAGTGGTGGTACCAGTGGTGGTGATGGTGGTGGTCATAGCAACAATAATTGCAGCAGGAGTAGTAGTAGAGGAAGAGGTGATGTGTGGCAGTTGGTGATGCTGATGGGGATGGCAGTTATGATGACAGCCTTAGGTAGAATACACTGAGGTCAGACACTAAGGAAGGTTATGAAAGAAGGAGACTTTGTCACTCTGTGTTTTTCCCTCACTTTCCTAAAAAGCTTAAAGTATTGAAGTTATTCTACCAACCAATAACCTATTTAGGGCAACTCTATTCTGCCCAAGATCTGGGCTCCACACAGTCTTCCATCTCTCATTCTGGATTGTGTCAAATTTGGGGTCTCAAGTATGACTCTGGAAGTGGTTTAGTCAGAGCATATGCCAGGAGACATTTACAATCTGAAAGGGTTTGATTGACACTGACCAGTGTTCCATAGGTATTTATAGCATGACAAATGAAAAAGCAAGTTTTAAAAAACTAAGGGAATTTAGTTTTATGTGCAGGACACACACACACACACACACATCAGAGTGGATGGACTGAATGACTTTTTTTTTTTTTTTTTTGAGACAGGGTCTCACTGTATTGCTGAGACTCTTGGGCTCAAGCAGTCCTCTTGCCTCAGTCTCCTGAGTAGCTGGGATTTTAGTTGTGTACCACTGATCCTGGCTCCTGAATGACATTTTCAATGTCCTTAAGACCTCACATCTTCACATGGTGAATAATGAACCTCCTGGGTAGTCAGTTACCTATTTCCTGAGAGCAGTTGTTTAAAAGTCAAATTATGCCTGGGATTTTTGTCTCTGAAAATTTTACCTTGAACAAGTGTAGTTAAATCATTGCCAATGAAAGGAGATACACATATATGCTTTTAAATTAAAGGCCAGATTTTTTTTACCCCATTTAAAATTAGAAAAATCTTTGCAAGTCCTACTATTGCACATAGAGTAGGGGGTCAACAAAGCCCAGCTGAAGAAAAAGCCAAAACCTTACCATAATCATTGTTGTTATGAATAATCTCATTGTAGATCAACCTGAAACATCTTTCACTATGGCTTCTTGGATCAGGATCCTCCTTTTGTGACAGCAGAGAATGTGGGTCCTGATTCATCAGAAACCATTTAATTAAGTTCCCCTGAATCTATTGACTTCCCACCTCAAATTTTTAAAAAGGATCCTGACTTGTAACTCTGACTAAAATCATTGTTAGCAAGTGAAAATGAAAGATATCTTAAATCCTGGTTCTTTGTAACCATTAGTTAATCATCAGCATGAGTGTGTTTATTCACTTTTTAGTTTCTTCATTCCATGAGGTCAAAGTTGTGGAGGTGTGTCTATTAATATTTAAAAAAGAAAGGTAGGTTTGAAAGGAGACATTACTTTTTCTAAAGGGACTTCATCATCTCAAATAAAAATAGTTCTGGCTTTTTCTTTTCATTTTTTTTTATTGAGAGTGAGAAAAGATCAGAGATTGATTTTTAAAATAATATTTTCCCCACTAAAAACAATTTGAAGATGAAACTCTGCTATAGTTAATATCTCATTACTACACATTCTTCTCTGATCATATAGACTAAAAATGAGGGGTCAGGGAGAAAAATCCTAGTCCCATTTAGATGTGTCTCTATTTACTTCACTGATCTTGGTTGGTCAATGTGGTTGTTTGGGGCTAGTAGTTTCATCACTAACTTTATTTTTTTTTAATATTTATTTTTTAGTTTTCGGCGGACACAACATCTTTTGCTGAGGATCAAACCCGGGCCGCACGCATGCCAGGTGAGCGCGCTACCACTTGAGCCACATCCTCAGCCCTCATCACTAGCTTTAAACCTCTAACACATAACAGATTTAATTGCTTGACCTGGGGCTGGAAGCCAGGTTCCAATGACCCTGTGACAAAGCTGCCCTCGGTTGGTTTATGTGAAAGTGACGAGTTGCGGGGGCAGGCTGGTTGTCAAGGGGAGAAGTGGGGGAACATGGGGAAGAGTGGACATCCCTTAAAATAGTAATATGCTCCCTTTTCAGCTTTTTCAAGTTGGACGGAATGGAGATGCTCTGGAAGAACTACTGTGTTCCCATGCAGCTCTGGGTTCATTTCTGAATATCAAGTCCTTCATCTCTATCAAAAAGGGTTAATGACATAGACATCCATATGCAACAAATCAAACCTCTATCTCTCACCATGCATAAAACTCAACTCAAAGTGGATCAAAGACCTAGGAATTAAACCAGAGACACTGCATATATTAGAAGAAAAAGTAGGCCCAAATCTCCATCATGTTGGATTAGGCCCCAACTTTCTTAATAACATGCCTATTACATAAGAATTAATATCAAGAATCAATAAGTGGGATGGATTCAAACTAAAAAGCTGGTTCTCAGCAAAAGAAACAATCATTGAGGTGAATAGAGAGCCTGCTAATTGGGAACAAATTCTTACCACACACATGTCAGATAGAGCACTAATCTCTAGAATATATAAAGAACACAAAAATCGTAACACCAAAAAAATAAATAACCCAATCAATAAATGGGCTAAGGAACCGAACAGACAATTCTCAGAAGATATACGATCAAATCAACAAATACATGAAAAAATGTTTAACATCCCTAGCAATTAGAGAAATGCAAATCAAAACTACTCTAAGATTTCATCTCACTCCAGTCAGAATGGTAGCTATTAAGAATACAAACAACAATAAGTGTTGGCGAGGACGTGGGGCAAAAGGCACACTCATACACTGCTGGTGGTACTTTAGATTGGTGCAGCCAATATAGAAAGCAATATGGAGAATTCTTGGAAAACTGGGAACGGAACTACCATTTGATCCAGCTATCCCACTCCTTCTTCTGTACCCAAAGGACATAAAAACAGAATACTACCGGGACACAGCCACATGAATGTTTATAGCAGCACAACTCAATAGCTGAACTGTGGAACCAAACTAGATGCCCTTCAGTAGATGAATGAACAAAGAAAATGTGGTATATATACACAATGGAATATTATTCAGCATTAAAAGAGAGTAAAATCATGGCATTTGCAGGTAAATGGATGGAGCTGGAGAATATAATGCCAAGAGAAATTAGCCAATCCCCTCAAACCAAATGCCAAATGATTTCTCTGATTAAGGGTGCTGATTTATAATATGATGTGGTGGGGGTGGCGGTGGGAGAATTAAATGAACTCTAGATAGGGCAAAGGGGAAAAGGGGAGGGAGGGGAAAGGAGGGGGCATGGGTGAAGGAAAGACGGTGGAATGCGATGGTCAACATTACCCTAAGTACGTGTATGAAGATATGAAAGATGTGATTCTACTTTGTGTACAACCAGAGATATGAAAAATTGTGCTCTATATGTGTAATGTGAATTGTAATGCATTCTATTGTCATATATAATAAATGAAAATTAAGAACAATATAAAAAGGGCATTAACCCTTTTAACATAAATATTATATACACGTTACAAGGTTTTATATGAATTGAATATTCATCTCTGGTCTCTGTCCCTGGAAGCACAAAGTGTCATGACCATTATTATTGTTATTGTTATTTTGATGAAGCATGTCATCTATGTGTTTGCAGCATGTGAGACTGATGGATAAGAGGAAGCCTGCATATTGGGCAAAACACCTCTCCCTGTTTCAAGGCAATGGCTGAGAATAGAAGGGGAGGCAGTGTCAAGAGTCAGCAGGACAACTGCTTGGGAAATTTTTAGGGCACAATCTATGTACCACGTGCTCTTCATCCCATTGTTTAAAGTAGTTTAAACAAGGCTTTTAGGGCCTTGCATAAGGCAGGATACCGAGAAATTGTCAGACCTAGGTGCTCAGGTCTTGCTTAAATGGAGCAGGTTTGGGAGTAGGAGGTAGGTTATGGAAAGTGAGCTTGTGGCCCAGAGTACAGATAGAAAACTTTCTCTACTCTGCAAAGAGGAGGCACCATTCTAGGCCCCTGTGAGTCTTCTAGCTGGGGAAAAAGGCCTTTATACATGTGGCTTATTTAGGAACAGCTTCCAGTGTTCAGAGGGAATGTCTCATTGGGGCCTAGTTTAGTAAGAAGACAACCATTTTTCCCAAGAAGGCTGGAGCTTATGTTCCCCAGAAAAAAATGAGCAATGATTTGAAACAGTTCAGGGGTTTCTGAAGCTTGGTTTTAAGTCCACATTCCACACTAAGAATGCGACAAGTACAGACAGAACAGACTGGTTCCTCTTTTTACGACTACCACATACTTGCCTCTGAAAGAAACTGAAAATTTTTCCTTATTGATAAAAACATTTTAACTGTGACGAGCTAGCTCCCTATTGTCCATTTGAGCTGCTATAACAAAATGCCATCAAGTGATGGCTTATAAACCACAGATATTTATTTCTCACATTTCTGGAAGCTGGAAGCCCAAGATACATCTCTGGAAGATTTGGTGTCTGGTGAGGGTTCATTCCTGGTTCCTAGATGGCACCTTCTTGCTGAGTCCTCATGGTAGAAAGAATAAGCAAGCTTCCTTGGGCCTAGTTTGTAAGAGCACTGTTCCATTCACAAGGGCTCTGCTCACATGACATAATCACTTCCCAAAGGCCTCATTTCCTAGTACTATTGCCTTTGGAGCTAGGATTTCAACATATGAACTTGGAAGAGACACAAATATCCAGCCCATCTCACTTTCTAAGCCTCAAAATCCTTGTTAGGACAAGGAGGTGGATGCCATAGAGCTTGGGATCCCTGTTGCTGTGACTTCTCTAGGTGGATGGGTTATGCTGGTTAGTTCTCTCAGGTACAGGTGGGCAATGTCCTCTGGAGACCGCTAAGGTAACTCCCAAAGCATTTCATGTAGGTGTTCTTTGATATTAATAAAGAGAATAGCTGGAATGTTGGAGTTAACACTCTTTGGTGGGAATAGATCAAGAGCTATTTATAAAATATCACATGCTAAATACCTAGAAATTTTGAAAACTGTCAGATTAAGAAGTATAATATATTCCTTTCATTATCTGTATCATAAATTAATTTATTGATTGTGCCATTCCTGGTAACTACTCATAAGTGAGGGGAAGAAAATGGCAAGCACCATAGGAAATAAGAAACTGCATCACAACTTCCAAACAATCCAGTGCTCCTGTGAAGTAGCTGAGTGTTTGCTTCATAAAAATATTAGCATCATAAGGTGGTATTTGTGCTTTAATAAGATAGGAGGATGACAATGGCATGGAGAACAGCATGTTCCCATGAAAGCATTTAGACTCCTTTTGTGGGGGGAAGATTCGTAGGGTTTGCTTTTACCACTAGCTGTAGTAGTTCAGCATCATTTGTATTTTTTGGTCTATGTTTCTGCTACACATTTTACCTAAGATACCAATGAACAAAGAAACACTTAAGATCAACAATCATGTAGTAGACAACTATGGAAAGATTGCTTGTACAACAAACCACATTTTTTGGGGGGTGCAGGGATACTAGAGATTGAACTCAGGGGCACTCAACCACTGAGCCACATCCCCAGCTCTATTTTGTATTTTATTTAGAGACAGGGTCTCACTGAGTTGCTTACAGCCTCGCTTTTGCTGAGGCTGGCCTTGAACTTCTGGTCCTCCTGCCTCAGCCTCCTGAGCCACTGGGATTACAGGCATACGCCACCATGCCTGGCCAACAGGCCACATTTTAATTAGAATTTGGGTTAATTCATTTTTCCTCATTTGGGATAAAAAAGATGAAATGTTATCAGGGATATAAAAGTACTAGCAGAATGCTGAAGATTGGCTAACACCTGATAGAAAGCCTGAGTAAACTTCTAGCCAATTTAAAGTTTTCTTCATGTTCCCTGCTTTTCTTTTTTAGTACTCATTCAAAAGTCCTTAATCAAAAAAAATTTCCATGTATGGAGCAACCTAGAGAATACTCTTTAGAGATACTCTCGTGCAAAGATTTCATGTCATTTATTCTAAGGTTTTTGATATACCTACTTCCCAGTTCTTCATAACAAGAATTTACAGCTTAAAAATCAAAAAGGAAAGGTTTCAGACAGTGTCCTAAAATAGACTAAAAATTTTTCACAAAGCTATTTCCTGGTGCTTCTAAAGCTTATTTTAAACATTTTGGAAAAGAGAGAGAGAGATTTTGGAAGTCCTTGAAACTTATCACATTCCATTTTTAATAGTAATTATAACATTAGATTCTGTAATCAGCATGTATCTTTCCAGCAGCTGAATATGTGATTTAAAAGGAAGTAAATCTGCCTAGTTTAAATTGTCCAGAATGTTAAAAAAATACTTTATTTGAGGGGAAAAAGAGATATTGAGAAGACAATTATTTCATTGATCTGATGCTTTTTCAAAATAGATATGAAAGTCATTTTTTTAAAATGAGGAAATTAGAGCTCCCAAGACATTTAAAATCATCCCTAGAGCAAAGAAACACAACATCTAATTTCCCAAATAAGAGAAAGGTCTATAAATAGAGGCATTGAGAAACCTTGGAGAAGTTCCAGAAATAATTCAGCAAATTGGTTATAATTACCTTTTCTAGATCTGGCCATTCTTTTGGTAGAATATGACTATGGATGTCAATTTTCATCTTCACAGTATCAGAGGGGACTGTGTAAAAGAAGAAGAAAATTTGGTATCAAGAGATCTCCACGAAAGCGATGGAGTTGATTGATTTACTCAGTCTCTTTATTGCTACCTTCAGGTACCAGTCAAGAGGCCTGGCCAGCCCTATCTTGGTTTGTTGGAACTGCCCTATTAAAGTTTAAAATTTTGTTTACCAACCTGGCTTTGGATCAACACTCTTTGGTAAGCAGAACTCAGCACAAAATTAAAAGAAAAGAGAAAAAAAAGAATCGTACTCAACCTCTGAGTTCAAAAATACTTCAGGCTGCTCTGGGTTACAGTAAGTCAATAGCAAGACTAGTTTTATATTTAAATACTATGATTTTATTAAGGTATATGGTTAAAACTCAAATAGTACATGGTTAAAAATAACACAGAAGGCTTCTGATTCACATCTTCTTTAATTTGTTTTTACTCCCTAAAAGAAACCAATTTTACTGCTTTTGCTTTTTTGTTTAGTTATTTCCATGTCTTTAAATAATATTTTAACAAATGGTTTGTTCATGAAAATTTATCATGTTGAAAGGAAGTTTCATCTTTATTTTTAAATTATAGAAAGTATCCACTCTTCCTATATGCTTTCCCTGTATTGTTTCTTCACTCACTTGTTCATTCATTCATTCTTGCATGCATTTAACAAACATATATTGAAAGCTAACATGCACTGAGGATATAAGGCTGAAAGAGAGATAAGCTAATACATATTCTATAGCAGATAATTGTACACAGCCAAAGCACAGGGGAAAGAAGACAGTAGCTATTTCTGTTGGGGGTTATCTTGGCAGCTGGGGAGAGCTTTTCCTCTTCCTGGAAAACTTAACATGTTTAAGGGAGCCCAGGGTTCCTGGCAAAGCCTTAAACCTGCTTGGAGATGTTCTCCCCAGCTCAGTCCCTATAGTATAAGACCAAGTAATCAAAAAGCCTTCCTGCTATAATTTAACTAGATTGTGGGTAAATTATAACTTATGTATTTGTAAATGATTCTCAGCTTGAAAGGAAATTCTCAAATTCCATTTTTAAAAAAGTTTGGTGATTTAAAACCCAGTGAGTGAGCCTTTAGTACAGAGGCACATGCCAAAACCCAGAGTAAGTGCCAGCACTTTTAGAGCATTTCCTATGGAACAGGCACTGTTTTAAGCATTTCAATTATATCAGTTCATTTAGTGCCCATAACATTGTTATGAACAATATCCATTTTATAGAAGAGAAAACTGAAGTACAGAGTAGTTGCATAACTCATTCATGGTCCCACAATAGTATATGGTAGAGACTGAATTTGAACCCAGTGTGGCTCCAAAATTTATATCATTAAGAATAAATAAAGAGAAATTCATATTTTAAAACTTTGTAATGAAACTACAGAACACCAGTAATTAAGATAAGATCCTAGAGAGAAAGAGAATGCCTTCAAAACTGCAGCAATGATGGGAACCATGGAACAATAGGATAGTTTGTTCAAAGGCCAAGAGACATTAACTGTCAAGCTACATTGTACACCTTGTACAATTTTATATTAACAATGCGGGAAGAGTAAAGACATTTTCAGATTAGAACTGAGTTTGCTTCCAAAAGACTCTCACATAAGGAATTTCTAAAACTATGTTCCAGAAATAAGGAAAATGACTCTAGAAAGATAGTCTGAAATGCAGGATTGAAGGGGGAACAACAACAACAAAAAACCCCTGTGTAATCATATAAGACAATCTGGATAAGTTAAATACTAAAAATAATATTAATACTACTACTAATGTTTATCCTAGGCATTAGCAAAATTTTGTGCAGCCATAGCCTTGCCTTTTATTTCCAGCGCATGCTCTATTGACAGTGAATGTCCTAATATTATCTTTTACCAATATTACTAATATTATCTTTTACCAACATATCTTTTACCAATCTGAATGATCTGAAAATTTCAATCATTAAGTCCTGGTTCCTTTGGGCAAACCAGTTTTTCAGTCAATCCTTTCCCTCTTGCATTTACAATAAGCAGCAAGAAAAAACAGGAATGTACCTTTAATTATTTTGCTTGGAAATATTCTCAGGTAAACATCCAATTTCATCACTTACAAGTTCTGATTTCCACATAATTGTAGGGTACACAATTGAGCTAAGTTTTCTGCCACTGAATAACAAGGAGTCCCTCTCTTCCAGTTTCTTATGCATCTCCATTCCAATCTGAGCCCTTACAACTGTTGATATATATATGTATATATGTATATACATATATATTATACAAACATATGTATTTCTTAACCAATGATATGATTTGTGATGTTTGTGATGTAAGTATTCTCTGAGACAGTGCTTTCCCCTGTATCAAACTCCTCACTAACATTTGAGCCCTGACTGGAGGAACCTTTAACATCCACATTTAAATTTCTACTAACAGTCTGCTCAAGGCAATCTAGGATTTTAAATAAACTTGTTTGCACTTATTTTATACTAAATCCATTCCCATGCCATAAGTTTTTGTTTCTTCAGTTTCTTCAGGGGATGTCTTCCCATCCCCCACCCCCATGCAATCTCCTCCTCTGGTTTGGGACAGTTTGTTCCTTTTCAGTGAGGATCATCTCAATTTGGCTTGGGAAATTCATGTATGGATTAATCTGACCCTGAACCCTGTAAGTTTGGCAGTCATCTTGGGCACTTTGTTCACCAGATTGTGATCTATGACCAGAGAATCTGCGTCTAAACCCTTAAGTTCAACATTTCTCTGCATGTTTAAGAATGTGCAGGACAAATTCAGCACTCTTTTTGGGTCACTGACCCTGAGTTCAGCTACACTGTTTGACCTGGGTGTACTTCTCAACTGCCCTGTTGTAATGCTGAAATCACACACTGCTTCTTTAAGTGACAACTTTCAGATATTTGGTGTTTTTTCAGATATACATACCCTCAATGGCGTGGGCAGTTTCACTGGTGTTCTTAAAGTGAACGTGAAGATTTGGATCTCTCAATCTGCATGATTTTTCAGGGTTTTCTTGGTCAAGAGAGTAGCGAACCACAGATTACCTTAGGCCACTTATAGAAAAAGGTGCAATCTAGGATTTTTATATCAGGCACTCAGTATTCTTCCACTCTCTGCCCAACTCCAAAGCTGCTTGCACATATTTAAAAAAATATTTTTAGTTGTAGATAGATACAATAACTTTATTTCTTCATTTTTTTAAATGTGGTGCTGAGTATCAAGCTCAGTTCCCTACACATGCAGGGCAAGCGCTCTACCACTGAGCTCCATCTGCAGCCCTACTTGTGCATTTTTGTGTATTTGTTATAGCAGCACCTCACTTTCAGGTACCAGAACCTGTATCTGTATCTGTGTAACAAGGATCCTCTCTCCTCCAGTTTCTAATTGTCCTCATTCCCTTTTGAGCCTTCACCACTGTTGCCCAGAACCTTTGACATCTACAGTTTTCTACTAGTAATCCACTCAAGGCATTTGTTGCTAACAAATTGCCACAATTTTAGTGATTTAAAACAGTACATATTTATTCTTACATAGATCAAGAGGTCAGAGGTCTTAAATAAATGAGCAGGGCTGTGTTCCTACTGAAGTCTGTCTGTCTGTCTGTCTCTTTCAGTACTAGGAATTTAATTCAGGTGCTTAACCACTGAGCAACATCCCCAGCTCTTTCTATTTTTTATTTTGAGACAGTATCTCACTAAGTTACTTAGGGCTTTGCTAAATTGCTGAGGCTGACTTTGAACTTACAATTCTCCTGTCTCAGCCTCCTGAGCTGCCGGGATTACAGGCATGCTCCACCACACCTAGTACCTGCTGAAGTCTCTAGAAAAGAATTCATTGTTTTTCTAACTTCTAGAGACTATCTGTATCCCTGGCTTGTATATCTGTGCTCATCATCAAAGCCAGAAATATAGCATCTTCTATTCCTTCTCTGCTTCTGTCAACACATTGCCTTAAAAAAAATTATAACCCTCATGCCTCTCTCTTGTAAGGACCCATGTAATTACATTGGGCCCCCCTAGATAATCCATGATAATTTTCTCATCTCAAAATTCTTTCTTTTTTTTTTTTTTAGTTTTCTTTTTATTTTATTAATTTTTATCTCTGGTTGTATACAAAGTATATTCACACCAATTTGTGTCTTTATACATGTACTTTGGATAATAATGTCCATCACATTCCACCATCATTTCTAACCCCATACTTCTCAAAAGAGCACTGATGGCAATGAGACCCTACTTTTCTTAAGTGAATTTTAATGGTCTCGTGTAGAATCACTTTAGTATTTCTGTATTAGCTGGGAAAACTCTGCATTAAAAAATGACAAAATCATAGAATTTGCAGAGAAATGGATGGCATTAGAGCAGATTATGCTAAGTGAAGCTAGCCAATCCCTAAAAAACAAATCTCAAAATTCTTTCTTAATCACATTTTAAAAGTCATTTTTACCATGCAAAGTAACATGCTCACAGGTTCTGGGGATTATCACGTGGACATTTTTGAGCAGGGGGTGGGAGAGCATTATTCAGCTTACCACAATTAGGCATGATGAATTTCCAGAGTAGCTACTGAAAGAATTCAAATATGGTACCTAACTTGAAAGCCAGTTGGATAGAAAGTGGAATAAGAAAAAATAATCAATCCAAAAGAAGACAATAAAAGAAGAAAAAAGAAAGCTAATAAAAAGTAAGCCAAGTAGAAAGCACAAAATAAAAATGCCTAAATAACAAAATCCAAAAACTCTGTGTGTTTATAAGGAACACATTTTAAATATAAGGATATAAGACCAGGCCTGGTGACATAGGCCTGTAGTCCCAGCTGCTCAGAAAGCTGAGGCAAAAAGACTACTTGAGCCAGGAGTTTGGGACCAGCCTGGGCAATATAAACAACAACAACAACAACAAAAAAAAAAAAAAAAAAAAAAAAAACAAAAAAAAAGAAAGGAAGGAAGGAAGGAAGAAAGAAAGAAAAAAAATAGGAAGGATACGGAAAGTCAGAAAGTTAAGAGAACTCAGAAGGAGAAAATACTGGGCTAGGGTTATAGCTCAGTGGTAGA